CATAAATACACTTAAAAAGTATAATTTTTTTAATTTTTTTTTAAAATTCACTAAATATCAAAAATACAAAAAAATATAAAAATTCAGAACATTTTTCATATTTTTTGTGTATTTATTAATTTTTTAAAATATTTTTTCACAGATATTTTATTTTTTAGATACATCTATGTAACGTGCTTTTCAAAAAGTAAAAAAAAATTATTTAAAATTTAAAAAATATTCACTGAAAATAAAATACACAAAAAATAAAAACTCAATTTTTAAAAAATTGAAATCAAACACACTGATTAGAACCTATTCTTATGAATTTATAATTTATTTTGAATTTATATTATAAAGCAGGATGGTTTTTGAATTTGTCTTACACACATTTGTCCTATTTGGACGGTTTAGATCTATTCAAATTATAAAACAACGGTTGAGATATATTTTTCAAAAAATATTCTACATATACATTTTCTATTTTCCCGCTTCTCTCTCTTACTTTTTTCTTTTTTCACCCATCATTCCATGATCCCATGATCCCACATTTCTCTTTCTTTTCTTTTTATTTTTTTTTTATTTTCTCCCGTTTTTATTTTTCTTTCTATTTGTTTATTTTTTATTTTCTCCTTTTTATTCAATATATTTTACACGTTTTTTCATAGATTGTATGTATGCCCGAGAAAATTGTATGTATGTTAGGCACATCTATCTATCTAGTTATATATTATATAAATAAAAGCGAGTTTTCGTGAGGAGTTTTGTAAAAACTCTAAAATTTTATAATAAATTTGTGATTTTATCAAATTAAAAAATAAATTTAAATAGTATTGAGATTACAATTATACTCTAGTGTTAATATTATTTACACCGTGCCTTCAAGTATGGACATATACTAATATATTTATATGATAACAATTAAATTGATAAAATATATGATTCATAAATGAATAAATTTTGAATGGATAAGAATAAATTTATAGTGCTAACATCTTTGAAAGTTATAGCGTTATTGAATGGATAATAATAAATTTTGAATGGATAAGAACAAATTTATAACGTTATTGAATCACGTAGCATCTTTGAAAGTTTTTACTTTTAGACGGTGATAAGGAAACTCCCTGGCAAGAAGTTAAAAAAGTTGAGAGAGAGATATATGCGATAAAATATGTTATTTTACTTAAATAAAATAAAATATGTTATTTAATTTATAATTATTTTATTTTTTTTATACAAAAATTAAAAAGTTAAAAAGTCAATTCAAATGAGGCTTTTTAAAGTTAAAATAGGTAAAAAATAAAAAAGTCAACTTACATCCTAAACAAACTCTTAAGATGTTGACATTCTGAAGGTTGCTTTAAGGAGTACAGTATAGTAGAATTACTTAATTATATAGTAGTAAATTATAGATTTGCACTAGAATTACTTAATCATACAGCGGTAAATTGTAAATTCACATATAAGTGGAAATTTGAATCCATATTTTTTATATTATGGGGGTGTTTGTTTGAATTTTTTTGGGTCAACTTATAATTTTTAGCTTTGAAAATTTTATTTTGGATTATTTGGTTAAATTTATTTTAAACAGTTTCTGATTCTAACAACTTATTTTAACTCAAAAAAGCTGATTCTGAGAAGCTGCTCGCCCTTTGTTTCTGATTATCAATTTTTGCTATGGACATATTAATTTACAGTTATACTCTTATACTTTTTTTATTTTTTATTTTTTAAAAAATAAAAAAAAGACCAAAATGGACTATGAATTATCGTTATTATTTTTTATGAGAAATATAAACAAGTTATGTATAACAAAAAATAAAAGTTAATTGAAAAGCTATTTCATGACTTATTTAACAAACACTACTCAGTAACTTAAATCTATAATTCAATAGTTACACCAAACAAATTAACAGTTTCTGATTAAAGTCATAATTTATAATCTGTTAATCTATAGTATATAATCTGTTTTAACAGTTATACCAAATGAGACATATATACGATTAGTTTAGACCTGAAAAATTCGTTCTACTAATCATATATGCTATCGGCTAAATGACTAGCTTTGAAAAGAATCAAACCTAAGACCTCGATTTTTATATCCTTATCAAGTCGGCTATACCATTGGTTTCCAGTAGTAAGTTGTTTGTGACAAAGAAAGGGGGAGTTGATTTCAAACTCTTACACCAAACCTAAGATCTCGATTTTTATATCCTTATCAAGTCGGCCACACTATTGGTTCCCACTAGAAGTTGTTTGTGACAATGAAAGAGAGTTGGTTTCGAAGTCTTAAGCCATACAAAGGACTCGTTTGTAAAGTTAATTATTTTAATATGTTATTTTAATTTTTGACTATTTTAAGATGTTAAAATTTTTGTATTTTATAGTTGGATGTAATGTTTATGAGAAAAAAAATAAAATGATTATAAATTTGATGTGACATTTTATTTTATTAACTATTTTATCATATTTTGTCTTTTTATAAATTTTAATATAAAAAAAAGAAGCTAAAAATTCACCTGCCAAATAAGGCCGAAAAGTAAAAACTTTAAAAGCCAGGAAGTTTAGCCCATTGAAGGCCCAAAACTAGTTGAAATAAATGGCCAAAAAATATTTAATATATATATGTTTTTGTTTTTAAAACCCACGGCACATAAAGATCAATTAGGTCTCAAGGTTTTAAAGGGGCAGCTAACATTGGGCCATAATTCCAGTCCAGAAAGCCCTGTGAGCTTACCTTTTATGAGCTCAAATGTGATATGCACAAAAACCAAGTAAAATCCCCAAAAGGCCTAAAAGAATTCAACTCAAACCGACTTTCAGTCCAAATTTTCAGACTTTATAAAGCCCAGATATAAGTCCGTAAATTCCAGCAAGTAAAGCCACCAGGGCCTTAAATTTCAGCAAGTCCTTAATTCAAGTATGAAAAATTTAGGAATTGTTTGGGAAGTATTAGATTAATATAATTTTTGATTTTTTACACCCAAAAAAAAAAAGAAAAAAAAAAAGTGAAATATGAGTTGGGCTTGAAATGATGTAATAGAGAGGTGATTTGACTTAAATAAGATAATTGTAATCCAAATACGATAATGTGTCAAAATAATATGTGTTATTTTAGCACATACCAAACAAAGTATTAATTTATCAAGTTTCAAATGTTGATCCCAAAGTTTGAATTGATTCCGTTTCAAACTTGTTTCTTGATTTGGATATTTCGGGTTCGTTTGGAATGTCGGTTGGCTTTTGGCTTTTTACTTATTTTAGCCTGGGGCTAAAAAGTCTCGTTTGAGATTGACTTTTTGACTTTTTTGACTTTTTTGAGAAAAAAATGTAATGATAATAGATTGGATGTGATGTTTCGTCTTATTAGACTAAAAAACTTATTTTATTTTTTTGTGGCTAAACTAGCAAAAGGCCCCGGGTTTTTTCTTCCCAAATGAACCCTTAGGGTTGGTCGGCCTTTTGGGAGACGCGACCAAGGTGGTTGGTTGTCTTCGACACCCAAATTTTAATAAATTTAGGGGCCTCTATTTTAGGTGGGTATTGTGATGTATTATTTTGAGTTTGTGTTAAAATTACCTTAATACTAATTCAGTTCGTTTATTTTTCATGTTATGGTATTTTGTTAAAAGGATGCATATGATATGCACTTTATGCAAAAAATATAATTTGTCACAAAAGTCTAACTTCTTTATTTATAAAAAATATAACTTAAAAAAAAAAACATAATTTTAATATTATAGATAACTTTTAGGGATACATAATAATTTCACCAATCATAACTTCCATCACAAAAATTCATAACTTTTATCATAAAAATCATAATTTTTCTCACAAAGTGCAAATGCACATTATAGCATTTCTAATTGTGGTATCAACACATCAAACTATACATAATTCTATTTTTTAACTCCATTTTCTCATTCCAGACAAAAATACACATAACACCCGGCTCATTTAGCCTTCGTTTAGCAATTTGGGTTGGGTTGGGTTGGCTTGGGTTGGGCTTGTAGTTATTTCAGCCACAAAAAAATAAAATATGCTTTTTAGCTTAATAAAACAAAACATCACATCTAATCTATAATCATTACATTCTTTCTCTCACGAAAAGTCAAAAAAGTCAAAAAAACTTATATCAAACGAGGCTTTTTAGTCACAAGCTAAAATAATCAAAAAATCAACCTACTTTTCAAACGAACCCTTGTGGTTCAAATAATATTTTCTTACACGCCAAGAAATTCAATGATTTGAATTATAGATGTTTTATACAACAAAGACCAATTTTGTAGAAGAGTATAGAGAACGCCTCATCAATCAGTCATATTACAACGAGCAAGGATCCTCTAGAGTTTTTTTTTCCTAAAATTTCCTAGAGTGGTGCATTGTGTGTGGTTGAGATTTATTAACAAGTCACATTAATTTTTCAACATTAAATCTCAACCACACAATACACCACTCTAGAAAATTTTAGGAAAAAAATACTCTAGAGGATCCTTGGTGTATTACAACACTAAAGTTACACACATACACAACCACAAAACACACAAAATTTACCAAACCTTATTAGTAGTTTCTGAAGATCATTATATACCTGTGGTGGTAATATTCTGTTGGATCAATCTTCTGAGTAGATAATATAACAATAAATAAACCAAACAAAATAAATAAATAACGTATCGAATTTATTTATCGAATCAAATTAAAATTAAGACCAAGTCGAGTGTGTGACACTCTGTTCTTAAGACAGATTCGCCCCGCTACGGTACTTACGGTTGAGTGGCGTCTATCTCCCAGGATACAATGATCTTCACAAATTGTAGTAGTACTCCAAACAATTTATTCGGCGAACAAAACCTGTGTTCTAACTCTCTGAATTTTATTCTAATACTAAAATGAAGAATAATGCACCAATGCAGAATTTAGGACAGCAAAAGGACAATCAACAGACTGAATTTTTCTGGATGTTTAGACTGCTGCCAAATGGCTCTATATATAGGCAACATTTATACAGCCCAATTCAAAAAAACATATACTATAATTGTTAAAGCAAGAAATGATGTTGCCATTACATTTCTTATCTTTTTACTTTCTTCCGCTGTTCCTCTTCCTACTCTTCCTCTTCCTATGCTTTTCCCTTATTACCACTACTCCGACAGGCCACGAAAAACTACCACCACCTTCTCCTCCAAAGCTCCCAATTGTTGGGAACCTCCACCAACTGGGTTTGTTCCCTCACTGCTCTCTCCGATCACTGGCTCAAAAATATGGACCCCTTATGCAACTTCACTTCGGCAGTGTCCCAGTCCTTGTTGTCTCCTCGGCCGTTGCAGCACGTGAGATCATGAAAACCCATGATCTCGCCTGTTCAAGCAGACCTAAAACAAGCATTGCTACAAGACTTACCTACAACTCTAAGGATGTCGCGTTTAGTCCCTATGGCGAGTATTGGAGGCAGGTGAGAAGCATTTGCGTCCTCCACCTTCTTAGTAATAAGAGGGTACAGTCCTTTCGAAATGTGAGAGAAGAAGAAACTGCCCTTATGATTGAGCAAATCAAACACTACTCTTCTTCTTCTTCGTCTTCGTTGGTAAACTTAACCGACATGTTTGTAACACTTACAAATAATATAGTGTGTAGGGCTGCGTTGGGGAGGAAGTATGGTGGAACAAAAGGAGGGAGGAGGTTCAAGGAACTCCTCGCGATGTTTGGAGAGTTGTTGGGTGTTTTCAATGTGGGGGACTATATCCCATGGCTTGCTTGGATGAATCGAATAAATGGTTTGGATGCTAAAGTGGAGAATTTATTTAAGGAGATGGATGAATTTCTTGAGGGAGTAGTGGAAGAACATGTTGATAGAAGGAAAAGAGAGGGCAGTGACAGTGTGAATCTTGGAAGTGAAAGCAAACATGATTTTGTGGATCTTCTACTTCAAATCCAACAAGAGAACACAGATGGCTCCCCTATTCATAGAGATACCATCAAAGCTCTCATCTTGGTGTGAAAAAAGAAGAAAGAGAAAGAGAGGAGAAGATAAAGAAAGCGACAGAAAGTACAACATAATCGATCAATATGGAAGAGAGAGAAGGTGGATGGAACCCAGTACTACGAAGGAGAAAGAGCACGATTTGGCAGCGAGGATATCGATCGGAGCAAGGGTTAATCACCATTTTCGTGGATCATATCCCAGAGTCAATGGATCCCAAAGGATTGTTCAACCTTTTCAGTAAGTTTGGAATCGTTAAAGATGTGTTCATCCCAAGGAAAAGGAGACAAGCAACAAGATCTAGATTTGGCTTTGTGAGATATGATTGTGAGGTGGCTGCAGAGGTAGCAATACAGAAGACAGATGGTTTGTGGTGTGATAATAGGGCTTTGCAGGTGAAAAAAGCAGAGTTTCAAAAGACCCAAAGTTTTGATCCGAGGGAGCGGAGGAGGATAGGTATGAAAGAAGGCGGGCAGAGGATACAAAATCAACTGCAAGGGCAGCAGATTCAATTTCAGGGAGGAAAGAAATCATATGCCGAAGTATTGGGTAATGGTGGAGCTAGTGAAAGGGAGGAGGTGGTGATCAAGACATTTGAGGAAGGTAATGGGTGGGGTTATGAAAGCTTAGTGGTGACATTGCGCAATTTTTTCGCTTTCAAGGAGTTCAGAGCAGAGTTGTATAAAAGGGGGATGAAGGATGTGATTGCAAGGGAGTGTGGAGGCAGATTAGTAGTGTTAACCTTTAGCTCAGAACAACAAATGAAGGAAGGGAAGGTCAAGCTGAGTGTGTGGGGACAGGAGTGGTGTGATTCAGTTAAAGAATGGGGGGAAGGGCACTACGTGGAGCAGGAGAGGTGCGTTTGGTTGTGTTGTTTAGCATTCCAATTAATCTTTGGAGTGTCACTACCTTTCGCAGCATAGCTAATCATTGGGGGACGATGGTCCAACTTGAGGAGGATGTTAATAACCCTCAATCTTTTCAGCAAGGCCGAGTCCGAGTAGTAACGAGGTGTATGAAGATGATTAATACGGTGGTTCATTTGGAATGTAAAGGAACTCTGTATCCAGTTAGGGTCTGCGAGGAACTACCTCGCTGTTTATGTCCGAATTTAAGTTCCAGTCGGGGTAATGTTACTGGTTTCCCTCCATCCCCAGTTAATGAGGAGGTGGACCAACTATCCGGAAATGGAGATTGTAGGAGGTGTGTCCAGAAAGTTCCTGTACCAAGGGAGGAGGTAATGGGGGGAAGATTCGCGGAGGAGAGCAGGGTGCTGGAGACAGAAATAGAGGGACCAGATATGGTGAATAAGGATGATGAAGGTCAACATGCAGAAGCAGAAGGTGTGCTACAGGGAGGCATGGGGCATGCTAACGTAGGTGCTTGTTCCAATGAGGAAGGTCTGGTTCAAGTTGTCAACTCACAACAGGTTATGATGAAAAACTTTCAAATTTCAAACGGGGTTCTTGGCTCTTCTGGGCCTTGTACAGAGAGGTGTGGGCCTGAGGAAGGCACATCAAAAATTAATCTTGAAGTAGTGCTTGAGGGATTGCATGTTGGGCCTTTGCCCAGTGGGTTAGACAACAGGGAGTGGCTGACAGTGGAAGAGTGTGTGGCCCAGCCCAGGTTTAAGCCCAATGTGTTTCAGTCCATACAGAATAATTTAGATAGATCTGGTGTTGAAAGCAGTAAAGTCCAGGAGGTTGCAGAGAAGGCAACATTCAACAATCGTAAAAAAGGCTTTGTCAACAAACAAAGGAGAGCACTAGGCAGTTTTGGGTTCCAAAGAGGTGCCATTTTCAGAGCCACGGCTGCAGCTGTAGCTTCCTCTTTGTCATCATCCCAAAATCAATCGAGGTGTAGTAGAAGGAATTTAATTGAAGAGGCAAAGTCAACTTTGAAGGTGGGAGCAATTCTGGGGCTGCAGTACCAGGGCAGAGAGCAAGACGTTGTGAACAAAATAGTGGAGCTTGAGGAAAATGATGTGGAAAGACTTGCCGGTGAGGCAAATAGAAGATAGCAGAATGTATTCTGGGGAAAAAAAGGGTGATAATTCAGTTTATCCATGCATATTTTATCTTGGAATGTTAGAGGGCTGAGTAGATTAGAAAAAAGGGGGAGAATAAAGCAGCTGGTGAGGGAGCGGAATGTGGATGTTTTATTATTGCAAGAATCTAAGAGAAGTTCGGTGGATGCTAGTTTTGTGAAGTCTTTATGGCCTTATGAAGAGATGGAGTTTATGGGAGTGGATTCGGAAGGTTATGCCGGTGGTCTTTTGAGCATCTGGAGGCCAGAGGTTTTTAAGCTTACTGACTGCTGTTGCAGTAAGAATTTCGTTCTCTTATCAGGTATATCTAGCCCTTCTTTTATGTGTACCATAGTCAATGTTTATGCCCCAAATGAAGGTGTAGCTAGGAGAAAGTTTTGGGAGGTCTTGATTGATGTTTTTCCCCATTATCCAAACCCTTGGTGTGTGGGGGGGGATTTCAATGAAATCAGATTCATTAGTGAGAGGAGAGGGTGCTCCAGGCGGGAGAGGGGGATGAAGGATTTTAATGAGTTTATTAACAAATTGGAACTATCAGATTTACCTATGATAGGTAGGCAGTTCACATGGTGCAATGCAGTGGAAGGGGAGAGATGGAGTAGGATTGATAGATTTCTACTGGATTCTAGGTGGTTAGAAATATTCTCCTTTAAGCAATGGGGTTTACCTAGAACAGTATCAGATCATTGCCCTATTCTATTGAAGGAAGATGAAAGGGATTGGGGACCCAAACCATTCAAGTTCTTAAATCCATGGTTAGCTCACCCTTCATTTATGCCTGCAGTCAAACAGATTTGGGAAAATAATCAGGTGTCAGGTTGGGCTGGGTTTAGACTCATGAGGAAACTAAGGGATTTAAGATCCCATCTAAGGATATGGAATAAGGAGGTGTTTGGAAATATTGACGCTCTATTAAAGTCTGCTGAGGAGGAGTTACATGAGTGGGATTTGCAGGCAGAGTCTGGGTCTCTGGATGATGCAGGTATTAGAAGTAGAAGAGAAGTTAGAAGTCTGGTGTGGAAATCATGCAGAGATAAGGCAAGGTTGTGGCAACAAAAGTCCAGGGTGCTGTGGGCTCGAAATGGTGACAAAAACACTAAGTTTTTCCACATTATGGCTTGCAGAAGTCAAAGAAAGAACTTGTTAGACTCAGTGTGTGTGGAAGGGGAGTGCTTTGAGGACCCTGCTCAGATTAAACAGGCTGTGGTGAGGCACTTTAGCAAGCAGTTTAAGGAGTGTTGGTCTGCGAGGCCAAAGCTTTCGGGCCCTTTTAAGGTTATTAACTCAGAGGCAGCAGCTAAATTGGAGGCAGAATTCACGGAAGCTGAGATTTGGGTAGCTATTCAAGATTGTGATGGGAACAAGGCCCCCGGTCCTGATGGTTTTAATTTGGCATGCATTAAAAAATGTTGGTCTATTATGAAAAGTGAGATTGTTCAACTGTTTCATGAATTTCACACTAATGCTAAGCTATCATATGGGATTTCTTTCCTCATTGATCTCTCCTTTCTACACTGAATCCCCTCCTTCGATAAATTTTTTTTTTTTTGGCTCTTATTTATTTATTTATTTATTTTTGTTTCTGTAAATTATATTATATATATATTTCTGTATGTTTCTCTTATATATAAATTGTATTATATTATATTATATTATGTTATATATATATATATATATATTTAATTTTTCTTTGTAAATATACATTTTTTTTGCTCTTATTGTTGTTTTGTTTCTCTTTTTTTTTTTTTTTTTTTTTTTTTTTTTTTTCAATTTTCCAACAATCTCACAGATGGATTAACATTCCTTGGAATAGATGGGCTGTTACAATCATATACATATAATTTAAATGTAAGAAAGCTAATTATTTCTAAGGCTATAGTTCTCAATGGATTCGTGTGAAATATTGTTCTTGTTCCTAGCCCAAAGAATCATGAAAACACAACAGCAAAATCTAAAAGAAGACCACTATATGGAATTCATTCAGGTGCATGCTAGAGAGAGAAATAAAAAGTAAAACCAAATTGTACTTCATAAACGATTCTAGTTTGTGGTGGCAAAGCATTATACCTGAATGTGAAGAGAGAGAAAAAATGGCAACTTAACGTGCTTACCTTGTCACCTTTTGTCAGTCGCAACACTCAATTAAGAGTACAATTAAATGAGACGCCACCTTCAAATCTAACACATCAAAGAAATATATAGTCACATAACTGAATCCAAATCTACGAAAGAAATATATATGATAAATCACACTAATAAAGCTTAAGCTCACCCACAAAACACCTTTTGGAGGTAACAACATTAATACAATGATGGAGAGAGTCACATATATTTGCTAAAGCCCAAGGGGATAGTAAAAGCTATATCTAAGATTCAAGCAAACTTTCTCTGGGGTAGTTCCGCAACCAGCAGGAAGGTGCACATGGTTAAATGGAGAGAGGTTACGAAAGGAAAGAATCAAGGTGGCTTGGGCATAAGGGACTTAGGTGTGGTCAACGAATGCTTGTTACTAAAGTGGTGGTGGAGGTATGGAAGTGAGGATACAGCTCTGTGGAAAGACGTAATTTGCTCTAGGTATGGTAAAAGTGGTGGGGGATGGTCTCCTGCATTGAATCATCCAGCAGGGATCTCACGGGTTTGGAAAGATATTTCCCAACTTTCGTCGGTTAATCAGCAATTGGGAGAATTTTTTGGAGAACAGGTTCACATAGTTGTTGGCAATGGGAGGAGGATAAAGTTTTGGTATGATCCATGGTTAGAGGGCAGAGGGCTGAAGGCTGAATTTTCTAGGCTGTTTAGTTTATCCATAGAGAAGGAGGATACCCTACAGCAGATGTGTGCAAAGATTGGTGCCTCAGGTAGGTGGCAGCTTCAATTCAGAAGGCCCCTACTAGCTTGGGAGGAAGAGGAGCTGCAGAGGCTGGTAGGTATGCTGTTATTCACTCCTAGGCTTAGGGATGGGGTT